CGCCCGGGCTGGGGTGGGCTGGGGTTGGGGGGGTGCCGTTGCCCCCGTGAGGGGAAGGCCGGGGAAGCGCCATGGCGGGGCGCGGCGGGAGAGGGGCGAGGGGCGCCCGGCGGGCACGGCCCCGCGGCGGGGGGAGCCGGAGCCGGGGCCAGAGCCGGGCGGGGAGATGCGGGGCCGGGGCGGGGGCCGGTACCGGAGCCCGCGGGCTGAGGGGCGATGCCGCACCGGGGCCGTGAGGGAAGGCATCGCCCGGATCAGGCTGAGCTGGCGGGGGATTTGGGGGTGCCTTTGGGTTTTTGATGTGCCTTTTTTTATTTTTTTATTTTTTTTTTTTAACTCGGACATCGTTCTTGCTGCCCCAGACGCAGCCGAGTCGCAGAGACCAATGTGTAATTGTCTTCTTCTGTGAGATATTTGGGGTTCCCCGGGGGCTGGGGAAAGGGCTGGCGCGTCCCCAGTTTCTGACGTTTTGTGTTTGTGTGCCTGTGTGCGCCGGCAGAAAATCCCTCTATCCTGGAAGAATGGTGAAACTGGGGAACAATTTCAGCGAGAAGAGCACAAAGCAGCCCCTTTTGGAGGATGGATTTGACACCATCCCCCTGATCACACCCCTGGATGTCAATCAGCTCCAGTTCCCACCTCCTGATAAGGTACAGTAGGCTTTAGTTTCCACCCTGGAGAATCACACCCAAATCTCAGGCAAACAACAAAAGAATAGGTTACGTGTAACGAGCCGCTTAGAAATGTCAAGAAATACGGAGTGTTTTAAGCTGTGCTTGTTCCCTCTGAGGGGAAAAAAGCCTAACAGTTAAGCTAATGAAAATCCAGTGGTAGTGATTTGCATTAAGAAGCGGTGGGAAATGTTAGTAATAAGCATATATAGGTTTCAGTGCTGCTGATATAAACATACAAATGCAGGCTTCTCTATGCTGTCTTGTCATAGCCCTTCCAATTCTGCCTCTTTCTTACTCGTGTCTAGAAGGTACTGTGTATTCTCTGTGAACAATGTGAATTTTCTCTGCTCAGAAAGCCCCCCCCAGATGAGGGGATAAAACACTGCTTTATATCTCCACAAAATGTACGTGGGCAAACTGGCCACAGAGAGAAAGAACTTCCATATTTTTTCTGTGCTTCAGTAGCAAATTAATGCTAGCCCCAGACAACCTGAAATAACGAGAACAGGCTACTGAGTTTTTCTCCTTGCCAACTAATTTGGTTCAAAACCCTCCAAATAGGTGATTCGGATGCTCTGTAGCTCAAAAGGAGCAGTCCAATGTGCTGCTTACAGGTTGGAAGGGAAATGTTCGTCCTGGATTCATCATTACATGGCTTGATTACTAAGGATTTAATTTTAAGGATGTAGGAAGGTGAAGTGATAGCCTGTAAATGTGTTTATTCTATTCACAATAAAGACTTAATTTACGTGTTACTACAGGTAAGGCATATGGTAGTAGGATAATTTTTGAGATATTTCAGTATTCTGTTTTTCAGTATGCTATTTTAGTAGGATACTTACTTGCACATTTCTCACATATGCATCTGGCAAAAAAGCTTTGCAGTCTTTGAAAAATACAAAAATACTGCGAAATAGTAATACCTTCATGCTGATTTTTATTTTTGGCATTGTGTCCTTCACAAGCTCAAGTCTACTTGTAGATAAACTGTCAGCCATACGTTCCTCATAGCCCCAAAAAAATTTCACATAGTCTTCTCTTGGGGTAAAGAATTTTAGCTTGTGAAATCTGCCTCAGTGGAGCATTGCTTGTAGGCAACACAAATAAATTTGTGACCTCCATTTTAATTGCTATCAACATCATTCTGTGTTGTGTGTGGTGACCAGTTGGCAGGCAGAAATGCAATAAGCCGTAACAGCTGTTGGAGAGCCTGAGGGTCCATTTTCTGCCCTGGGTTACATGGGTGTAAATCTTGTAACTGAGGACAAAATTGCACCCTGAGGCTTTGAAACAAGTTAAGTCTTAGAGCGTCTGGTACGCCTGCCAACTGGCGACTGGATAGAACCGATTACCAAGGACCAATGTCCGGAGGAATTTGTTGTGTTGCTGCACTGCTAAGCAGCAGTCTGGACTAGGGACCTGTGAGGGGACAGGCTTAATCTGAGCAGAGCCTCTGGGGTGAACCCAGGAGGTTCTCTGCCAGCCTGATTGCTCCTACTAGAATGGGGCTGAACTCCTCCCACCTTCATCATGTGTGCCTTGAATGAAAGCAACCATACAGCTGGGCTGGAAGCTTAAATAAAGGAATACTTGATTGACTCTTCTGCTCCTTCCACTGTCTATTTCTATATTAGCTTTCCTTTCCTTTTGCAAACATAGAGGGCAAAAAATAAAAACATGTATTTATTGGTCCTACTGGTTTCCTTCTGTAACTGTCAGTGGGTCTTTACTGGTTGCTGCAGACTCCAAGGCAGTAGTAGAGTGACTGATGTGAAAAAAAGGAAACAATATTAAGTCAAGATTGACATACAGATCAAATTCTGAAATACGAAGACACTCATGTATAATAACCAGGAGTACATACTTCATATATCTATGCTTATTATTCACTTACAAGGCTCCAGTATGGCAGTGAAGCATAACTTCTTGAACAGTAGTGACTACAGCGCTAAGAATTGGATGATTTTGACAGCTTCTAAATTAAAGGGATGAGCTAATTTAAATTCATATTTAGGTATGTTAAACAAAAGAAGACATTACATAACCAGGCAGATAGAACTGTACGTTCAGTGTCAGCTGAATGTGATTTGAGTTGCCTGAGATTATGCAACGTAAAGGGGGGGAGGAAGGGAAGTAAAATGTTAAAAAGCATTCCAGAAATCTTCAGATGCTTTACTTCCATGGTGCTGTTGAGCAATTGTAAAGTTAGACACTTAAAATTGTTGTTTTATTAATTTTAGCTGAAATAGGTTTGGAAACTACCCATGTCCTGCGCATGTGTGTATAATGCTGTAAAAGTATCTTAAGAAGCTTTGTGGGACTGAGTCTAGGTTCAGTTACACACCCTGGGTACCCTTTCAGGGAAGTGAGGAGAGGGGAACCCAAAAGCTTTGATTTCAGTACCTGGCTACATCTGAGTGTCACGATCTTAATTTCAGAATAACGTAGTTGCTATTGATACCACAGGCTGCTCTAAAGATAGAATCTGCTTCTAAAAATCTAAAAGCATCTCGATATTTATTCTTTGGAACAACAGAGAAAATTGAGCCAATCTTAACTAGCACTGTCGGTACAAGAAACTGCACCCTACCTTGAGAAGTGATGCTTTGAGAAAGATCTTGAAAAATTGTAAAAGGCAAAAATGAGGCAAATAGGTTAGGTTTGTGAAAATTTTGTACAATTAGAATGCCTAGGAGAGCACTAGAGAGATGACTGACGTAATGAATATTTTAGGAATACAGGTAAGGTGCTAGATTGTGTAGTTTGTGGCAACAGCTCATAGCAAGGAATAAACTGAAGTTGAAGAGCCTCGGGTGTTTCGAGAAATCTCATTAACACAAGGGTTTGCATGCATCTTGCTTCGTGCAGTTGATAATTCAAAAGCTAGATGTTAAAAATAAAGAGCGCCAAGAGCTACAGTCTAGCACATAGTGAATAGCAACTAGATGGGTCATTCCACTCCTTTTAAACTCAAAACCCTGCCATCAAATAACACGGCTACTGGCGGCATCGTCGTCTGCTCGATGTGGTACTCGTCTCATCCTATTGGCCTCCAGTTTGAAATCCCATTAATGAGATCTCCTGAAGCAAATGGAGGTGCCTTTTTTCAAACTATACAAAGCGGGAAGCTCCGTGATTTAGATTTGAACTAAGTAGATGTTTGCCTTATATAGCAGCACAGTACCACCACAGCCAAAAAGATTGAATGGTTGTGAAATTGTTGCCTAACCAGTCTTCCTGTAGATCCATCAAAACCACTCTGAGAGATAATTTTGTTGATGATTGCTATGGCAGGAAAAATAACTAATGGCTTAGAGCTTCCAAATCAGAAGTACACAAAGTGGGCGTAAAAAACCATTGTGTGCTTGTAAGCCAGGTAAAAGAAGAGTTAAGGAATAAATAAGATTCTTGTGGCTAGTTTTAGTTGACAGCTTTTTGATAATTTTTTTTTTTTTTACAGGTTGTGGTCAAAACGAAAACAGAATATGAACCTGATCGCAAGAAGGGAAAGTTCCGTACTCCTAAAATAGCTGAGTTCACAATCAGCATCACTGAAGGGGTTTCAGAAAGATTTAAGGTAAGCAGTGCTGTCTGAAGGTGCTAATGACTCACTTGTGCTCACAGAAGCGCTTAAAATCCATTCCTGATCGTAGTCAAAACTGGCTGTAACTAACAGTGGCAGTTGTGGGTACAGCTGGACAGGAGAAAAATTAATCCAATGTTACAGTAGTTCAGAATTTAGCAATTAGAAGCAAAAGCACACCTTGCAGCATTATTGCTTGTAATGGCAGATGAGTTGAGAAGGCATTTCTGTCAGGGGGTGGGTTTCAGAAGATGGCTGGCCAGGGTGTATGTGGGCTGCACACAGGTAGCTCTCCTGGCGGCGATAAACCTCCTGTTAGTGTTGAAGGACAAGAACCACAAGAGTATTTGTTTTCTCTTTGGCTTATTATTTTTCACTGTGGCCAAACCATTCTCTTAAATGCACTGTCATAGCCCATTATGTATTTTTTTATAGTGAAATGTATGACTTGGCAGCTGAGGGATGTATACCAGAGCTCTGTGCTATCAGTTTCCCAGGTCCAATTGTATCGTACAGCTCGGTGACGACTGTTACTGGCAGATGGCAGTTCAGCAAGAGTCTGACTCAGATTTACTCTTTAGTGTCCACACCCCTGTTGGTCCTTTTAGTGGTCCCTGAGGAAAGCTGAGAGCTTAACTGGTGCAAGGATTAATTACCTTTCCCCCTTCTCACTGGAGGATGAGGTTTCTTCCTCTGTGTAAGTAAAACAAAGCAGGAACATTGGCACTTCAGCTCATGCTTTCTTACCTAATCTCTAAACAAAGACTACAGCTTCTCAGTGCTGTTGATTTGGCATCTTACCCAAAGATGGCAAAGCAGTTTTAAACAGTAGGTAACCCCACTGTTCAGTGCACAAGTAAAAATACATTTGGAAAGCCTAATGCTTAGTATGAGGGGAAAAAAACAAGTTTCAATAAAGATGTGGATTCTCTTTGTGTTGCACGCTTCTGACCTCTGCATGGTAGGAGTTTTAGGGCACAGCCAAAGATTCTAATTCTGTAATTTAGAGAATAAAACACAAGAGCTGTGCCTGACCAGTGGTTCTAAAAGCTGCCCAGGCCCAGCCCTACTTCCAAAGTGTATCTGCAGCTCTCGGTGGAATTGGAGTGGGCTAAACAAACAAAGTGAAGTCTCAAGGAGGGGTTAGGTGCTTTAGGCTACACTTTGCAAAGGAACTTTGCTGAGTGTTACCAGGACAAATGTTTTAAGTCCAGGTCACCTGGTGGAGTCTTCAGCCATATGGCAAAGCATGTAGGTTCCCAGTGAGCCGTGTGGGGAACCACACCAGATAGCTAATAGGAGATGTTACGGGTTGTGGCAGGGGTTTACTAAGGAGGTAAGGAATCTAGTTCCAGTTTTTCTATTCCCTGATTTGGAACAAGGACATCCCACCCCTCAGGGAAAAGGCTACATTCTGACTAAGGTTCTCTTTTTCCACCTGGCACCATAGTACCCGTTCTTGAGAGTAATCCCCTTCCTCTCAGGTGAGGGTTGTGCACACTGGATTGTTGGGTATGATGGATATGGCACAGCTCAGAACAAGGAGGACTTCTGTCTGGTGGTCTTTTGTGTGTGTCCTGGTCACACTACAGTGATCTGAAAATGCACTGTAGAAGAAAAAGGGAGAGTGGTTGGTTTGAGTGCCCTGCTAGGACTTCGATTCCAAGCATATACCTGAGGGATTTTACACTTATCTACTGGCTGTAGGGACTAAGGGATTTCATCGCTCGAACATTAAATTGTAGTTAAGGATGGGTTTTGAATATTGCAGTCGCATCTAAATGTTTTGCTCATCCCTTTGTAGATCTGGGTTCTTTCTGTCTTTGTTGGGAGAGCTGAGCAAATGAGACCTCACTGAACAACAAATAAATAGCTTGTTGTGCTGTTGGGTAGTCTTTTCTAATTTGTATAACTGAGCAGTTAGAAGCCTGAGCATATTTGCATTGCATTTTATATACCTTTGGATGGCATACTTAAATAAAATGTCTTTTAGATAGTACTTTATGATGATCACTCTGGGATTAATCTCATAGTACAGGGTTGCTAGGTTTTGCTGCTAGGTAACTACTGCATCAGAGAGAGGTTTCAGTAAGATTTGGTATCTCTTGGGAATTGCAGGGTGATTCACACTGTGGCTCTAAGTGTAGGCTTTAAAAGAAGAGTGTGGGAGTTGATCAATTAGGAAAATTGTGGTTCAGTTAATTGAAAACAATAGTTTCATGCAGAACATTCAGATCCTAAAAATGTCCCTTAATCTCTATATAACAGTTTTAGAATTGAATTATTCTGCTTGCAACATTTTAAAGAGAACTGACTGGTTCTCCAGCAGGGATGATTGTCATATTCACCACTCCCAGTAGTAAATATTACATGAATAATTGATGAAATTTCATAAATATGTAGATGAAAAGTACTGATTGTGTGAGGTTTTCTCCTGAGTCCTTATTAATTGTGAACCATCATGTTAACTGCTGCTGTTGATTCTGAGAGAGCAAAAGGATATTTGTTTGAAAATTAAATATTTGCTATAATTATGAAATGCATTATTTAACTGGTGGGATATTGACTTTGGCTTGTGTTCATGAAAAAAGCTTCAGATGCCATTTTAATGACTTTAATATTGTACATCACCGATGCATAAGCTTGCCACAAGACACAGCCCAAATGTTGTGCTAAAAATAAAAAAAAAGTCAGTCAGTCATATTCGCAACTAATTCACATGTGTATTCTAAGATGTACTTCTTAAATAAGGACAAAGCAGATTGCATTTTTGTGATTCAGCAGTGCAGATCATCTAAAGCTGTTCTTCTTGAGAAATTACATATTATAACAAATGAAGCAACTCCAGCATGTGCATATGTCATGTAGATCATTTGGTGTTTTAGCAGTTGGGTGAATAAGAAATTATAAAATGTATTTTCTGCATTCAATCCACATTACTGCAGTTATTACAACAGAGCTGAGAATGTTTACAAAGAAAACTGCAAGTGTAATTTCCCTCTATGAAGCCACATTCTGAATTCAAATCAGAGTCCATCAGAAGAATGTGAAGACTTCCTGATTCTGAGAACCCTGTTGTCTTAATTAAGTTTTATGGCACCAACCACACCACGGAAGATTTTTCAGTTAAGGTTATTTTTCACTGAGAAATACAAGTCTTGCTTTTGTTCTCTGGACAGCGTGTAGGCTTATGTGGGGCCTTCACATCTGGAAAGCAACTTTGAACAAGGCAGATTTTTCTTTCCTGTAAATTGTCTGCTGTACAGAATAACATAACAAGGCTGGAAATGTCATTTCCAAGGAGTCTGATGAATCGGGACACAGGAGGAAGCTATTGCAGGAGAAAATTGAGGGTATCAGTCACCTTTGCCTCCCCCATTGGCAGAGCAGTGTTTTTATAAACTCCAGTTGGACTTCGCAGTGGGTTGTCTGTCCTGGCACCCACTGGATTGGGCTACAATTAACAGTTGTGCACAAACACACCAATTGGAAAAAATGTCTGTTGCATCAAAGCAGGAGATTTTTTTTTTGTCTTTGGGGAAACCTGAATAAAGAACATTCAGAAGTATTTTGAAAGCAAACGCTTATGTTTCCCAATAAGTTTCAGGCCCTTAAATAAACCCAGACTGTGGTATGCCTTCCACCATTTGGTTCTGTTCAAAGGCAATTCAGTTCTTCAGACATTACCCTTGACATCTCTACATACATCTAACTGCAGAGCCAAAGCCTCAAGCTTATTTCTGTGGTAAGACCATATGGTGCAAGCCATGTACTATCAAGTAGCAAGTAGTTGTTGAAATGTCTGTGTGAGGTTATGGAAGAGGAATTGAGACTTCCTTTCAAAACCAGTTCTTGCAGTTTTACCTGGTCATTTTAAGACTGAAAAAATGTATGCAATATATATTTAAATATTCCATTTTTTTATCTGTCTTAAAGGGGCATCCTTTAAAACATGTTCCTGCCTCAAGACTTTTTTACGTGTTCTTAGTAAAACCAATGATGATTATTGCTGCAAAAATAATCAGACAAGGAAAATACTTCCCTCTTTGTTTCCATGTGATTACTCTGTGTGTTGAGCAGCTCTTTGCTCCCACTTAGAAAGTCTCTGAGGTGCATGAGATGTCAGCTGGTTCCCAAACGGTGTATCGCTTCCTTAAGTATATTCTGTGTCTGTCACTTAGTGCTGGAAAAGTGACAGGTACTTACTGCCATGAGTAGTTCTGTTTCCTGCAGTAGAACTACTCACAGGATTAAAGTTGCTCACAAGTATAAGCATTTGGCAGGCTTTGAATTCTTCCTTTATTACTTCAAGCAAGAAAAAGAAAGGAGATTCTTCTTCCAGTGAAACTGCCATTTTAAAACAATTGGTGGAAGTAAAGCACTGCACGTCTACTGTCATTTTTCCATTTTTTTTAAATGTTTGATAATTCTCTGATATGACATTGACAATCCTCCTGCTGAATTTTTGGCTAAAAGGAATTTTTTTTACAGTCAGAGCTGGGAGACTTAAGTAAAGTGGATGCCTAACAGCAGCTCCCCTGCTCTCAGTCAGGTGTCCTCTGCCGTTGTATCCATTATAAATCCTTTTCTTGAACAGAACCAGCGACGCTGGTGACACAGAAGATGTTTTGGGTCTCTCCAGATGTAACACTTACACTTTTTCCTCTTCTGTAGTAACATTTTCCAGCCTTTCTCCTGTCCTCAGTAATATCTTCTGGGCTTATATGGGGAGGTAACAAGGTTCTTATCTCAGGGCCACAGGGTTTCTTGAACTGCTTCCTCAGATCTCTGTCGTTAAGAAAGTAGTACATGGTGCTGTGTGATGGCAGATGATGGGATGCTGGCATGAGCAGCTCTGTTAAGCCGCAGCGCCAGACTCTCAAGGCCACTGCCTTGTTATCTGTACTTGTTAAGCCACAGCACTAGACTCCTCAGGCCATTGCCTTGTTAACCTGTTTTTGTCCAACGGTATCTCCCTCAGGTTTCGTTAATTG